ACGGTCCCGATCGGGTTTTTTTTTTTTCATTTGCGTTCAACCTTGTACTATAATACAATACCGTTGTGACACGGCTGCCGCGCCTTCCAATCGGTCGATTGACGAGCGGAGAAAAAAAAAATCGAGTAACACACGCATGCAACGCGTGTTCGAAATATTACAAGAAGAAAAAAAAATAGACGAAAGAAACTGGAGAGGACATGCATTACGATGGGGATGATTACGGCACGAGAACGACCGCGGCGGCGGCAGCAACGGTTTCGGCGCTCGGTCGGGTCTAAGGTTGTCGTCGAATCTGTTCGTTATCCTAACGTTGTCAGAACGTTGTATTTTTTCCAATAATTCGTACAAAAAATTATTTAGACTAAGGCCACACCGGTGTGCCGTCGAAAAAACGAGTGCGCGTACACTCCGCTGTTTTAATAAGTCATTCGAGAGTGCAACGTACGTGTAACGTGACCAATGGCGTATCCAGGATTCATTTAACGGGGAAATTTTAAAATTTAATAGACTTATGGTAAGTAGAGCCTCAGCCCCCTCCCCCGTATTACATAAATAAATTCCATGTATTTACATAAATGAAAATTATTACATTATGACAGCATAATATGCAACTTGTAGGTTTTACATATTATGTAAAACCTACAAGTTTTATACATCGTTTATTCAAATAATCAAAGTAAGTTTACAATTTGGTACCATAAAATAAGGTCGTTGGGGGGTGTTCTCACACCCATATCGCCCCACCCCTTAAAAACACCCTTGAACGTGACCATTTTATAATGAGTGTAAATATGTTTTTTGATTAGCAAATGTAATTGACGTTAAAAATCATTAAATTATATTTTAAGAAAAAATTCCGGTAGCTCTACCCAACTCGACCCGACGAAGTCGACGTGGTCGCGCGCAGTCCTGAACGTTCGTAAACAACACGCACTTGTCGAACGTGCGGCCCGGAGGAAAGAAAACTCAAAAAATCGTATCCAGAAAATCCAAAACGACTAGGAGTACCGAAGTGCACCGCACTCCGTTATATCGGAGATAGATCGGTAGATCGGTAAATATCAGCACGGCGCCCTCATCGATATCGAACGTTCCTTTGGGGGGAAACCGCTTCGGTTACCCTTAAAATTAAAAAAAAAAAAAATCGTTCTCCTTCCGATCTTAGTTTGCCAACGTCGTGTTCAGCACTTCGCCCTGTTAACATAAACGCACGTGCGCTGGCTGATGCGATTTTAAATAAAACGCAACGTTACAAAAGAATGTAAACTTTCCGTAACACGTGTACGGCTCTCGCGTCGGTCACTGCAAACACGTCATAGAAGGAACCGCGGACCACTCGATCAAGGACTATAATTGTGCGTAGTACAACCAGGCGCGTATCCAGGAACATTTTATGTAAGGGGAGGGGGTTCAGTAAATTTAAACTTACTATTTGTAAAACAAATAGCACATGTTGAAACAGTTGAATCAATCAATTTATTGTGTTTAAACAAATACAAAATATTATTAACAAAATACATAATATATATATACTCGAATTTCCAGGATTAAATTAGTTATCAACTAATTACAATACTTTATGAATTTTCCTTTTTATTTTGGCTAGTTCTCCAACACTTCTTCTGAATTTACTTTAATTGTCCTGTTAATATTTAGCTGTTTCATATTTTTATTATTATTATTATAATTATCATTATTTTTAACGTCCATTCGGGCAAAAAGTATACATAAATGATACTATATGAGTTATTTACTAACTCAGGTTCATGGTGAGGGGGTTCTGACCCCCCCATGGATACGCCACTGAAACAAGCGCACTTTGTATAATACGAAATGTTAACTATGTGGTACGAAATTAAAAAGTGTGTCGTGGTTCCATTCTCTATATTATGGTATTTATTTATTAATTTAATTTACATATTTTTAAAATTCCATCATGTATCATCAGAAAAATCTGAAATACCAACTGTTTTAACTGTGTTACTCATCGCTGTTGACTTTTGAAAGGTGAGTATGACAAAATCCTGAGGTGTGCAGTACAAAGAAGTATATATCTGAGCCTCTGCATTCGACCGTTAACCGAATATATGTTTATTTTTTACGACACGAGTTATGATTTGCTCACAAACCTTTAGTCTTGCCCCTCACAACTATCGTTACTTTTTTTATAATAACACCACCTCTGGTGATCTGGTGCGAAATTTATACGAAAGGGTACTCTTCCTAGAGGCCTTTACCGTACACATCGAACTGTTACCGGCACGTAGTTTGGTCAATACTAAAGAGCTCATTAATATCAGTTTAAATAAAACTGTTATAATAAGTTTTCATGAATTCGTCACGCCCACCGGATTACTTATTTACCGTGCAAGGCCCACTTTTTGTTATACCGATATGGTCAGCACGACCAAGCTGGATTGGCTAATTTCCAGGGTCCGCTAAATCATTTACTAACCACAGGAGATTCAAAAGTAGATTCACTTGAATTCCGAACATCTGTCGATTGATCGTTATAAAAAAAGTTTCTACTGAACTAGCATTTTCTATAGATCTAGACGCGTTATCCTGCAGGACTAGACCAGTCGCGTGTACAAAAGGTGTACATACAAAATATTCTTGTTCACATGTACCTGTCGGACCATCAAAAATGATACACTCTTGACTTACACTTGATGGCTTTTAAAGACACAATTTTCTCGAGTTGTAAATGGCTCGTTTCACATCCGAATAGTACGCATATTACGACCAAATTGTTTAACACGGCCGCATTTAATACATTCATAGAGTTAAAAGTATTGTTGCTCGTGAATGAAATGTTTTATTTTTCGTTTGCGGCAAATTGTTGCAAGGTAAAGCGCCGTGGCCTTTGAGCCGACCCTGGACGGTAGAGGAGCACACATCACGCGCACACGAACAAAACTTTGAGGAGGGGCGTACCAGCCTTTCGTAGCGACCCCGTAGTCGTTCCCGGTCACGTCCGACAAGAAATCAAGCGGTATCTCCCGTCACAGAACACAAAACACGAACAGTGTCGCGCGACAAAACGGTACAAACGTCGAACGGTTCGGACGGGAGAAAATGGGTAGAGCTCGTCGGCAGAAGTTCCCGTTGATGATACGTTTGAAAAAAAAAAAAATGCGAAAAATCGAAAACGTTCGCACCGCTCGGCAAGGCCGAGCGCAGCGGTGTTGGTGTCCGTCCGACTATACGCACTCGGTGCGCCGAGTTTTTATTCGACCGTAGATAATACAGCTATGTAAATACTGTTGCACTTATTACAGATAAGTACCACACTTAAGGTATCTACACGTGAACGATTAATAATCATCAATTATTGTTCAGTTTACAGTTGATATTTGTGCGTGACACGTGTACGGTGCACACAGTTACTTCTAATAAATTTAGTGCTATTTGATTTAAATTTTCCATTATTCCTAGTACATGTGTACAGTATGTTTATAATTGATAAATAAATTAGATATATTTAAAATAATTAATTAAAAAATGGTAAAAATATGTATTAATCTTATGGTGATTTTGAAAATGAAGGAAATAAAACCTAACCTCCGTTTTTACGTTGACATATGGTTTCATTATCCACGGTTTCGTTGTCTGCGCAACTTTTCTGGAACGCAACCTCAGCGGACGTCATGTTCGTCGTCTCCTCGTCGGTACAATGTCGACGGGCTGTTGTTACCGGCTCGTAATAAATATTCTGGGGAGACTTAAATTATTTAACGTAAACTCCACACAACAACGAAAAAAAAAAATTATTTTATTGGACAATTAATTAATACTTGGTACTTGATTTAATATTAGTTCATATTTTCTGACTTAATTTAATTGTACATTTTTTTATAAACCAATTGAATTATGCGATTTTCTTTAACTGCGAATTCACAGATGACGGTGTTCAGCGTTTAATTAACTGTTTTTTTTTTTTTTTTTTTTTTTAAGGGTAGGCGCAGTCTCAAAGTCTCTTCTGACGAGCCGCCCCTGATTGTTACGCACTCGAACGAGTCGCGTAGGAAAACCAAACACTCGTCGACTGCGCAACCGTGAGCCGAACAACGGTGCACAGGACGAGGAATACGTTTTTTTTTAATAAACACGTAGGTAATGATAACGGAAAACGATAAAATATATAAAAACAAAACGAACAAGATTGGTTTCTTTTTTTTTTTTAAATACATTTTTTATTGGAATATTTTTATCAACCTCGAAAAAAAAATATCTTACAACTTATGCATATATACTTCTTTTTTTACACATAATACATACATATACATATACAAGACCATCGGAAACGTGTCGTACAACAAACTTAATAGTCGCGTTATAATATAATATAACTCTTTTAACCCTAAACATTTACAAAGGATTATATTTATTTATAATATTGTTTTTTTTTTTTGTTTTTTTTTTTTTTTACTTATTTACTTTTTTCCACTTTCGTTTTTGTACAGTTCGTAAATTAAAATAGTTCAACAAAAACAAAAAAAAAAAATCTTTGTTAGCCTTAAGTACCGAACCATCACAACGATAAAAAAAAATTCAATAATTTGTTTATACAAGCGGAACAACGAAATTTAATACGAATTGAGCATTAAACGAATTAAAAATTATATAATAATAATTAATAAAATTAACGTCTTTATATTAATAAGTTAAAAAAAAAAAAAATTGTAAACTTAATTAAAGTAAAACGTACATATCCTAATGAATTAAGTTTTAGGTTAGGAATTTGTTAATTACCTTCGTGACTCGTTGACTATACTATTACAAATGGTAACAATCACAAAAGAAATGTAAAACACTGCTCCAGTGATTTTTGCTTCAGTAAGTTTTCCAAAAAACAAAATACGTTGTCTACAATTTACTGAGATCCATACGACTGACCTCTATGTGTCTCTAACGTTCTCAAAAAAAAAAAAAAAAAATAAATATACACAACAATTATGTTTCTAATAATAATAATAATAATAATAATAAATGTAATGAATACTAAAAAAAAATATAATAATAATGATATATCTAACATATTGTATAATAACTGTATTATTTATAATTTTCTCGATAGTGTCGTACTGCCCGAGTTCCGTTTTAAACGTTTTTTTTTTTTTTTAACATACAGTAATTATATCATAATGTGCACATCAGTCTTGGGTACAAAAAATATCTTGACGAGAAGACGAAATACAAATAAAATAATACAAATAAACTTTTCTTATATAAACTCCATTCTATTTACACAGTTCATCACGGCGGGAGGCGATAAAATCGCGCGTATACACTCGGTCCACAATAACTTAACACCGAAAAAAACTTAATCAATGTAATAATGTATATACTATCATATTAGCTCGTGAACAAAAAAAAAAAACCTCATAAAAGGATCATGGTAGGGAGGGGGACACATTGAGATGACGATGAGACACATACACACGTTGACAATGGACAAAAAAACTGCATATAAAACACATTTCATAAAGTAATGTTGATAATAATAATAATAATAATAATAATAATAATAATAATAATAATAATAATAATAATAATAGTTATAATAATAATAATAATAATAATAAAAAATAAAAATAATATTGATATAATAAACAACATGAATCCGCGAATCCGCTGCGTGTCGTTTATCACAGTCGGACCGCGGCGATACCGCGGTGGCCGGCGTTACCGTGCGGTTACCACGTATACGGCCGCGGTGGCCGGCTGTTACTGTGGATTCACCACGTGTACGGCCGCGGCGGCGAACACGATACCGGCGCCGTGCACTACTGAACCTTGTCCTTCATGCTGTGCAACAGGTGTTCGGACATGAGCGACGGCTGGTGCGAGTAGTTCCGTATGTTGTGCAGCGAGATCAGTTGGTTGGGGAAACTGTTGGGCACGGGGCCGACGCCGGATGGCTTCATGTCCATCGGGCCGGTCATCGGGGACAGCTGGTGGCCGTGCGCGCCCAGCTGCTTGGCCCCGGGGAACGGCAAATGATTGTAGGGCAGGTACATGGGCGGCGGGTTGTGCTGCTGGTGGTGCTGCTGATGGTGGTGGTGCGACGGTGGCGGCGGGTGCGAGGGCAGCCCGAACGATTGGATAGGCGTGAACGCGGACGTGCTGGTCTTGGGCGCGGACGCGGAGTCCGTCAGGTACTCGGGCGGCGCGGGCGGTAGATGACCACCACCGCCGCCGTGCCTGGACGGTTGGTCGTCGACGGCTGCGGCCGCAGCGGCCGAGCCACCGGTGCTGGACGGTCCGCCGGCACTACCTCCGCCGCCGCCGCCGCCGCCGCCGCTGCCGGCGTTCAAGTCACCGCGCGACTGCATGGAATCGGAGCCGCCGTTGGCCGCGCCGCCTTGCATGCAATCCTGTTGCTGCTGCTGCTGGTTCATGGCCTCTGCAAGGTTATTGGCCGTGTCCGGCGACAGCTTGGCCCAGTACGCACCGTTCTCCAGAGCCACCCGCGGTATGCCAATGATCGGCGGCCTCTTGTCCATGCGCTCCGCGTGCTTCTGCATGTGCTTGGACAGGTACGTTTCCTGCGTGTACGACTTGCCGCAGTACTGGCATATGTGCGTCTTCAGGTGCTTGGACTCCTTGTGCTTGGGTATGTGCTCGAGCAGCGATTGCTCGTCCTGGAAACACTTGTAGCACGAGTTGCACTTGAACGGCTTGTCCGTCTGGTGGCACCGCGAGTGCGACTGTAGGTTGCTGAGCTGCGAGAACGCCTTAATGCAGCCCGGATGCCGGCACTTGTACGGCTTGTCGCCCGTGTGAGTGCGTATGTGCTGCTGCAGGTGGCTGAGCTGCGTGAACCTCCGCTGGCAGATGTCGCACCGGTACGGTTTGATGCCCAGGTGGATGCGCGTGTGCTGGCTCAGGTACGAGCTGTTGGCGAACGTCTTGTTGCACTGGTGGCATTTGTACGGTTTCACGTCTTTGACATGCAGCTGCGAGTGCAATTGCAACTCCGACTTGGACGCGAAAATCTGCGGACAGAGAAGAAGAAAACAACGTTAGTGGGGTGTGGTACACCGAAACGGTGTGACGGACGGCCGGATGACGATCGCTATCGCGTTGCGTTTTACCCGTCGTTTCGGGTACGTCAAGTAGAACGCACGCGCGGGGAAGCTGGCACGTTAGGCCGGGCGCAAATTGAGACGCAGGTAATGCAACGCAGTGTAGGACCCAAGTCCGTTACCCGCAAGAGCGAATATTAACGGCAATTATTACAACGCAGTTTCATATAGTAGAACATTTGACATCGACGTGATGGCTAAAGAATTAATAGATTTAAGTTCGGGATCCAATTCTGATGAGGGGGATTGGTTGAACTTAATTTATATTCTTTAATTGAACGAAAAAAGTCGCGGAATAGTGATTTTATGGAAAAAATAAAGAGCTACAGAGAATCTTCTTTGACAACAGAATTGTCTGAAAACCCATTTACGAACTACTTCCGCTTAAATAGATATCGATTTCGTGAAGTTCTCAGTACTTTAAACGATATTATTCTTTTTCTGAAGGGTGTAATGCTCAAAAACCTGTTGATCCTGAAGAAAAAACGGAAATCAAATCAGAATAAAGTTGAAAAACTAAGAAAAAGTTGAAAAAAGTTGAAAAACTGCGTCACACATTCGTAGTAAACCGTGTCGTATACACTGAGCGACGTAGGTTGACTCCGGAGCAGTACTGCGCTGCCCTACCTGGCAACTTAGTTCACGCTCGTTCGTTTAAACCAGTAGATCACAAAAACCTGCGCTGCGGTGCCTGCGTTTCGATTTGCGCCCGGCCTTGCGTTCGCATGGCGCTGGTTGTACCGGTTACACCTCGAACGCGCGCGCCAGGTCGACCACCGCACCAGCACCGGCGGCTGTGGGCGTTTTCGTACGGACACAACGTTTGTGCGTACAGGTTCGGGTTCCCACCCCCGAAACGCAACGGACCAGACACAATACGTAACGAGTTACGCCGGGCAAGTATCCAAAAAGAGGAATAAAAAAAAAAAAATTAAAAAAAAATTGAACGAAAAAAAAACCACCATTGCCGTGCGCGTTGTTGTACACTCCGGTGTGTATATTTAAACGTGTCGAATAGAATTTTCACAGCTAAGGTCAAGGCGTCCGAATATAGACGGCGCAGCGCACGGGCGACGAAGAATTTTTTTTCGGTTAGAGGTCGTTGTTTGGACGGGATCCAAACGCGCGTAAAAGGAACTGGGCTCACGTTCACCGAACGTCGCACGGGGACGATAAACGCTAACCCGTTAACCCGTTGCTCGTGTGTATAAATCATCGTAAACGATGTCCCGTGTCGATCCCACAATGAATCCCTCTGACACGGGGGGTTGTGATACACGAGTGTGTTTAGTCGCGCACACGGACAGCGCGTAGTACCAACAGCGATCGGCAATAAATAATCGTAGCCTGTGTGTTTGCACGACGTGCGAGTCAATAAACACCTGACGACGGTAACAACGACAACCGTACGGTACACTTATTATATACTTTTACGTAAACGTTGTCCGCTGGTAGTAATGTTATTGTGAACGGGCGTACGTACGCTTCCGGTTTTGGTCTGGACAACGCCGGTCTGGCGTCTTGATAAAAATTATTGGTAAATAACAATTTACATAATTCAATTGTTCTATCTGTATTTAAGGAGTTGGTTGTACGCACGGAAAACACCACAAGTAGTACGCACGTATGGGTAACCGTCTCGTTCGTAATAACGTTATTATCAGACTACATTATTGTATCACACGATGACTGATAGGTTACTGCTACCGGAATCGTGGTAATGTGCACGCGTGTACCGACCGTTTTAACGCAGTATAAACAATACGATAACAGTGCAAGTATATTATATAATACCATGTACACATGCACCGACAACGATAACAGGTCGAATCGCGTGACCCAGTGGCGCGCAACAAACACACGGCATAATCGCATCGGTACGAGCCCAAGGCCGACGCACTCGACGGCGGTAAGGGAAATGAAGAGAAAACGCGCGCGTTATCAGTGTTGGGCGACGACGGTGAAATGCGTTATCGTAAAAGCTGGCCGTAAAAGCGACCTTGGCGGGAGCGTAAAATCCAAGGTCGTCCGTGCAGCAGGAGAGTACGCGGGTGGTGTGTGGGCGCGTGTGAAACGGTGAAAAATCTTTGGAAACTGTTCGTGCCGGAGAACACGGAAAAAAATCAGTCTCAAGAAAGAAACGCATCGTCGACCGTGTCTAAACATGGCGGCGAGCGGTGTAAAACGCGCGCGCTCACACGAGCGGACGACCGTGCCGCCGATGATTATCTCCACCGCCACCATGCCGACCGTCGGATTTATTCGCTTGTCTGTCCGTTTTTTTTTTCGTTTTTGTTTTGGGGTCCGAGAGAGAAGCGCACAACACCGTCGGGTCGAGTGCGGACCGGTTTCGGCGTAACACACGCGCGCACGCCAGACACATATACGTATACATAATAATAATAATAATAATAATATTGTATAACTATACGGAAGAGGGTCTCCTGGTCGGCCGATAATTGTGCATGTGTGCATGTGTGTGTGTGTGTGTGTGTGTGTGTGTGTGTGTGTGTACACATTTTTTAAAACGTGCGCCCGACCGCGTTAGGGTTAAAAGAGAGACGACCGGTGTACGCAACTAAAAAACCGGGTTTCCAGCTGCTGCTGCAGTTGCTGTTACTGCCATCACGGTCGAGGTGGACGCGATAAACATCGCACGGACCAAGAGCAGTACATATAACGCATATACGTATTATGTTAATGTGCGCAGTAAAAAAAAAAAAATGGTTTATTTTCTCGAAAACCGCGCGCGCCCACCGATAGTCGACAGACTTTTTATTACAACGCGGACCGGCGAAGACCGCACACCGTATACTATTACACTTTGATGGCTGTGTACGGTAATCATCGTCGTCACGTAGAAAATAAATACAGGGGGGGGGGGGGGGGGGGGGGGGGAGACCACCGCCGGTCGGTGGCGCAATTGTTCCGCTTCGCTTCCGCGCGCGGTTCGTCTCTCATTAAGTCCACGTGTACTTTTTTTAATTTATTTTTTTTTTTTTTACAGCGCGCGCGCGCCCGCCCGTTAATTTGCAAGTAATTAACACCACGGTCGAAAACAAAACGAACGCGTAAAATATAATTTACGTATAAAACGGTTATAACAATAATAATACTCTATAATAACGCATAAAGCGCGCACTGCCGCATCGGCGACCTTCGGGGTAAAGGACGCGGCGATCATCGTTCAGATCAAAACCAGAAAGGATTCTGAAAATATTATAATCCACGCGAAGCGACCACATTACCTAACCGATCGATAGTAATTTTCACGAGTGTAATATTATAATTATCTCTACTCCCACGTTGCAGTCGATCGCTGTTGTTAATATTAATTTGTATCGAAGCGGCGTACTCGGCGCACGAATTATAAACGGTAAAACTAATGAGATAGTTACGATTATTATGATTATTATTCGCACTATGACGTACATAACGTATATCAGTAGATGTGGTAGGCAGTAGCCACCACATGCCCAGCATGCCATCGACCGAATTTCCGAAGACGTTCGAGAAACCGGTGCAACTAATGAAATATATTTCGTGAGCGTAGGTATAGCATACGTAAATATATTATGTTTTATAGGTATACTCGGGAGATACGTTTGCTTGTGGTAATATACCGGTTTTGATTTATTTTTTCGACACAAGAAAGAATTAAAAAACGAAATCGTAAAAAAATTATGTCGTCGTAATTCTGTAACGTGCAGTGTTCACTTTTTTTCGAATACACGTGTAGAGATGGTAGCAGAAAATCAATGAGCAACGAAATCAACGTCGGGAGACTTTCTACATTGAAACGATTCGAATATGTCACCTCCATTAACATCTCACACCCATAGAAATATATTCTTATGCATAATATTATTATATTACGTATGGATATGCAAGGATAACAATAATATTTCGAGCGAACATCGAAAAGGAAAACTGTTTGTTTATTCTTTTCTACGAGCCAACGAAAATATTCGTTCTTCGCGAATGTCATGGATCGGTGCACTGCGCGATGATAAAGATAACTTTAGGACTTCCGAGATGCTAAAAACAATTATTAATTCTTAACATACAGACAGCACTGATCCGCATATGCATGCGCGTAAAGCGAAACTGCCGTTCATATTGTTGGAACACGTATATGGTATTGATAATATGAATACTATGTGCTGCAGTGCGCGCGTTTGTAGTCACATGTACCGAAGTTCTGTATTATTATTGGAAACACGCATGTATTGTATGTACATATATCATACACCTAAGAAAACGAGTGAACCGCGTGCGAGTTTCGAACTAATATTTTAAAACGTTGAAATATAAAAATGATCGTCTACAACGGAATGGACAATAGACATTAAAATAACGCTTCCCAGCCGTATTCTCGATCGAAACACGTTGATCGCCGTCGACGCGAAGTGTCGCAAGCACTGCGTATACATATAAAGGAACGCATCGTCGTGTTACTATTACGTAGTCAGCAGATGTCACACACGAGCGCGCGCGCCGAGGGAATAAACAAGCACGTAGGCGAATTTTTAAGAAAAAAAAAAACACCTGGAAGGCCAGCGAAACGAGTCCGAAGAATGGGATATAGGAAAACGAGTGAATGGATTTAAGAAATCCGTGTTATACCGGGTCCATTTACCCTACGTCAAGAAAATAAAAAATAAACAGAATTTTTCTAAACACGAACGATCCAAACAAGGCTTACGTTAGATTTTGCAAAGTTTTGACAAACGAATAATATTTGTTGACCATAAATGAAAGTTAATATTCAATCCCCCGCCGCTGTGTGTTTTTTGGTAGAATAAATAGCAATTATTTCAGAACGAATATATCATGTTAAACGTTCAATCCGCGGTTCAATACTTCCAACACGGATTATGATGTGTAATTGAAAAGTATAACATGCAATT